TAAATAAAGGAGTGGACAAAGGTTTAGTCTGTGTAGTGAGGTCTACACGTCTGATGTAAATAAAGGAGAGGACAAAGTTTTAGTGTAGTGAGGTCTACACGTCTGATGTAAATAAAGGAGTGGAACAAAGGTTTAGTCTGTGTAGTGAGGTCTACACATCTGATGTAAATAAAGGAGAGGACAAAGTTTTAGTGTAGTGAAGTCTACACGTCTGATGTAAATAAAGGAGTGGAACAAATTATGAATTTATGAAATGAACACACTTTAGGTTTTCAGGTATTTTGTAAAACAAACTGTTTAACCCTATCGCAATGGGTATCCTTTACTGCTCATGTCACAAAGTTTTAGTGTCTTACATTCAAAATTTTATTATACTAATTTTTATGTTATACTAATTAGTATATCATAAAATCTTAGCTAATAATCCATATTTTAATAGTATATAAGTTTTAAGTTCTTAATTCTATAAGGTAATATTTAAAAAAAAATCCTGCATTTCCCCTAGTGTGACACATTTTTCTCTAGGTATATTATCTTCTTTATTTTATCCACCACCCCTTCAAAAAGTACGAAATTAAATGTAAATTACTCCTTATAATATCATAATTGCTCAGACACAACCATAATTTTTATAGCCTTCAATTTTGTTTGGTTACAGAGCTATCAAATAGAAAATCAGATTCCTCCTGTCACACCCTCTCTTTCAGGATTTCTTAATATTTCTCTCTATGTGTAATTATATATTACCTATAACCAACAGAAAGTCAAAGTTTTCATCTAATAAATAACGTTGTGTTCTGAACAGAATATCCTCAATTTCACTCAGAGTACAAGATTTGTTCCTGTGGGAAAGTTAACAACTAGCTTGGGTGAATTTGTAATGTCTCTTGTCATATAATTAGAAAAACCTGAAAAATTGAGAGTTAGGGGAAATTGTCTACTTTTTTGCTTGTAAAAGGTGTTTATCATTCTACAAAATATATATATGTTGATATTAAAAAAAAAAAGAAAGAAAAAACTGTTCTGTCAACTAAAACAACATAGTCATCACAAATAGAATGAAGCAGGAGAAACAAACCTCAACTCCTGCATTGTCAGCTAAAGCTTTTGGTAAGGCTTCTAAAACTTCAGCTAGCTTTTTAGTTGGATATTGTTCAATTCCTGGCAGTGTCTGCAGAAGAAGAAAAAATTAGAGAGTATTATATATCTGAATAAAAATCTAAACCTTCTTGTAAAACTATGCATAAAGACACTTAGCTACATCAGAGCCACACTAGTCTGAATACTAACAGCTTGGTGTTTCATAAATACACTTAGCTACATCAGAGCCACACTAATCTGAATAGTAACAGCTCTGTGTTTCATCAAGACATTTAGATACATCAGAATCACACTAGTCTGAATACTAACAACTTGGTGTTTCATTTTCATAAATACACTTAGCTATATCAGAACCACACTAATCTGAATACTAACAGCTCTGTGTTTCATCAAGACATTTAGATACATCAGAATCACACTAGTTTGAATACTAACAGCTTCGTGTTTCATTTTCATAAAGACACTTAGCTATATCAGAACCACACTAATCTGAATACTAACATCTCTGTGTTTCATCAAGACATTTAGATACATCAGAATCACACTAGTCTGAATACTAACAGCTTCGTGTTTCATTTTCATAAAGACAGCTATATCAGAACCACACTAATCTGAATACTAACAGCTCTGTGTTTCATCAATACATTTAGATACATCAGAACCATACTAGTCTGAATACTAACAGCTTGGTGTTTCATTTTCATAAATACACTTAGCTATATCAGAACCACACTAATCTGAATAATAACAGCTCTGTGTTTCATCAAGACATTTAGATACATCAGAATCACACTAGTCTGAATACTAACAGCTTGGTGTTTCATTTTCATAAAGACACTTAGCTATATCAGAACCACACTAATCTGAATACTAACAGCTCTGTGTTTCATCAAGACATTTAGATACATCAGAATCACACTAGTCTAAATACTAACAACTTGGGGTTTCATAGACACTTAGCTACATCAGAACCATACTAGTATGAATACTAACAGCTTGATGTCCTACTAATCATTAACTACACTAAGATATTTAATTATTAATTAAAAATGAATATACTATTAGTATATTGTTTATATCTAAAAATAAGTAAAGATATGATATACTAAACCATTAAGTTGAATTTCTTTTTAAACATATTTTTATTGTGTCATTCAACAATAGATAAATGCCAATTTTAATGATACATTTTGAATCATATATCAAAAAATAATTGTCAAAGTTGTTACTACATTTTCAATTAGTTTGTTATAAAGAAACATAGATGTTAGGCCATTAAAACTGCTTTAATAGCCTATTTTTAATATTCCTCAACATATACATGCATTACACGTTTGTAGTCCTAACAAGTATGCATTCTCATACAAATTTTTCTCTCTCAAAAAACCATACCAACTTTTATCTGATTTATTCTACTGGTGTGATTTTGTATCACAAAAACAGGTGAAGAAAATCTGCAAATACCGCTACCTTCCATTAAATTTTTCCTCTTGTGATAACTACACATTCAGAAGTCACTAAAAGCTAAGAACAGAAATACCCAGTGATCTAGACCAATTATGTGATAAAAAAACAACAAAATTTGTCTTAAGAAAATACAAAAAAAAGTTTATCTATACCTCTCCATATGATGCTATCTCTTTAGCAAGTTCAATTTCTATAGCTCCTGCTCCAGGTAGTAACCTTCCATCCTAACCGGGATCAAGATCATGATATAGTTATATATATATAAAAAACTACATAATTAAATACATAAATAATATTCAACGTTAAACTGGTACACAATTAAAACTATTTATTTAGGCCTATCTATGGGCTTCAAAAAGTTGACGACTACATGTTTCGTCGTTACATCCTGAGAATGATTTATGATTTTAAGTTCTTTAATAAGCCAATATTTTAAACACACGTTTAGCAAACTTTTTTTAAAAATGTAAATAAACAAATACATCTGAAAATAAGCATTAGTTTTCCTTATGAACAAAAAGTAATATTTGCATTTACAAAAACTTTGTCTTCCATTAAAGTTTTATTTTGAAGTCTTCAAATAATTTCACTGAACTTAAATGAGTGAGTAAGAAAACTGTATCTTGTATATTTAAAGTTTATTCTGAACATATAACTTAATTTTTTTAACATGAAATTTTTTCTCATTTAGAAACATACCATTCTTCCATAATTAGAACACTATCACTGTTACTTACCCTAGTGATTGCTTTAAATGTGTTGACTCCATCATCAATAGCTCGCTCAATGTCATCCATTAAATTGTCAGTTGATCCCCGAACCACAATAGTTGAAATACGAGATTCTTTACTCTCTAAAATTAGAAGTTTAACACAATATTTGGTAAAAAATCAAACTTTGATATTCAATCCAAATACATCAGTTTCCAAAACAGTTCTTTAAATGTTAAATCAATTTAATGATATCACTTGTAAACACAATGAAAAACCATAATACTGAAGCTAAACAACAGTCTTGATACTAAAATAGCTAAGTTCATTAAGATTTCTCTTAAAGTAAAATTATCTTCAAAATATTAAATAACCTATTTTCTACCATTAATAAATCTAAAATACACTAGTCAAACATTAGTTAAATGTGTTATATACAAATTAAAAAGTTGTATAAGATGGCTATTACTGGTTAGAGAAAAAGCTTTTGAGAAGAAAAATGTAGGATTCTCCTTTTATACTATATTGAACAACTTAAAATATTTCAGTTAGACCTCTGTCAAAAAATTAACATTAAAATCTATCACTAGCATTTCTTTAGTAAATTTCATAGCTAGGATGCACCATATATAATTTTGAGCTATATATATTCATAAACAGAAGTCTGAATATACTACAAGCTTGGGTTTCACACACTTAGATACACCAGAACCACATTTGGAAGATATAGTATAAAGCAGATTTCCATATGTTAGATGACAATATAAACAGTCAAACACATCCAGGTTCTATATTCAAAATAGTGCACTAAAGCAAGACTACCTAATGGGTAAAGAACACTGCGAAAACTAGAACTGTTCGGTACAGTACAGGTAAAGGAGATATTGCTGTTTTTGCATTTATGGCAAAACTACTGCAGCTACCTCTAGTTTTGAAATATTGACCAGATGGATTACAACCAGTGCTAGGACATTGACTGTCACTCTTATAATGCACACAACTTAACCACCATGTCATTATAAATATGAGTCTTAATTATATATCATACTGATAAGTTCAAATTCTTTTTTTTGTACATTTAGTGTTTTAATTTTGATCTACATGCCACTTTATACCAAAGTTTGTAAAACATACTCAGAAAGAAATGATGTTAACTAAAACAAGCGAGTTAAAATTTATCTTTAAAAAACACAAGCACACATATACTGTTGATGAAATATTATCTTCATTAATTTTTCTATAACATGTTCATAAATTTAAGTTTAGAAAAATTTATTACTTTGCTTCTTTTATATTTTGGTAATTAGAAATAACTTGGATATTCACAGATTACCTTGTTTAAAAACAACTACAGGAGTTTCTCCTATTTCATCAACATACACCAAATCACAGAATCCCACTTCTTCAGGAGTTGGAGCTGTCTGATTATAAAAAATAAAGAAAATTTTTTTGCTCCCAACATTATGGTGTGACACGAGACACCATTAATAGAACTCAATATGAAACTTAGTTTAAAATAAAATCACACTAACGATCAGGAATAATCAGTGATTTGTAGCTTTGACAACTCAAGTCAATCTTTTTTTACGAGTGTAAAATATGATCTATTCCTCAGTACGCACATATATTTACTTTCATAATATCTTATGTTTTGAGCATATAGACTAATAGATACACCCATAAATTAGCAACGCCAAGATTAACTTACTATATTTTAGTAAGTACAATATTTTTATAGTGTGGAAAAGATAAATGGCAAACGTTTTACTGAAATTTCTAATTTACAAAGAAATGTATTCTAATACAGGACACTGGCTTTTTATACTACGCATAACTATGACAATTAAAAAAATAAAACTAGAACCCTTTCCCATCTCAAAGCAAAGAAACTGAAGAGTTTTTCCAATAATAACTCTTTGTCACCTAATGAGGTTGGAAGATTTAATACAATTACATAAACATGTTGTGAACAAATTAAGAAATTCAGAAAAAAAGATTGGTGATGATAATACAATTGAAAAATTTTGCCTAGATTTTGATAAACTCATTAAAAACTCTTTTTTGTCAAAATAGTAAATTCTGTAAATAATTCTTCCCATAATTTACTTGAAGAACATGTTAAACAAAGTAATCATTATTGCAGAACAAATGTTTTAAAGAATAATCAACTAGCAACATTATGAACATTTAATGTCCAATTCAACACTAATAATTCCAGCAAGAAAACTTTACAGTTCCTTTGATATTCTTTTTTTTTACAGTTAGAAATGCACAATGAAGTTAACACAAATACTGTGAGAGTCTAAATTTTTAAAAACTAGAAAAATAAAGAAACAGAATTACAATATTGTACTTACAAGGTCAAAATGCATCACATTTGGTATTATTTACCTTTATAAATAGTAGTTTGAAATATTTTGCACTATGTATAACAATTATTTTACAAAATATGAAAAATTAAAGACTGTGGTTATATACAGTAAAGTGCTGACATAATTTTTTCTTTAGAAAAATACCAAGACAAAATTGAATAGATGGAATTACCATTTTAGGTAGTGCTGTTGCACCAACTGTTCGACATAAACGCCTAACATCAAACTTGGACATCAGTCGAACTCCCATAAGGCCGTATTTATTAAGGTAATGAAGAGCCATGTCTCCAATTTTACCACCTGCTACCACTACAGTAACACCAACATCTGCAATAGCTTTAATTTGCTGAAATAAAAAGTGACAAAACTGTTTCAGAAATATTTTATCACATAGGAATTCTACACTTCTGCACATATCCAAGTTTCACCAAAATTATTTAAGATATACAGAGAGGCTGTTCATGATCTATGGTGACAATCTGTATATACCATTGTGGCTTGTGACTACATAGGTTAACTCTTCCCTTCCTCATCTCTTGTAATTCAGTTGAAATGTTGGGTTTGCATGTCCAGATAACACCTAAAAATCCCTTCTGTGAAAAGACTTAACAAATATCTCCTATTCTGTGATTATGAAAGCACATAACGCACAAAATTATAGCATTTCAAAGAAATGGGTATCTGTAGTGTTGAACTGTATTAAAAAAGCATGGGAAGATGTGATTCCAACACACACACACAAAAAAAGCAACTACACAACTGGTTGTCAGTTACATCAGGAGGTATTAAGAAAATTAAACAATTGGTCACCAGAAGTAATTCCAGAAAACAATAATGTATTGCAGCTAAATTAAGGACCTCTAGAACTGTAAAAAAAGATAATTCACAACAAATGTCAACAACAGTTATGCATCATCATCTTTAAAAGCTTCTCACAAAATACATAGTGATGGGAAAATCAAATGTTGAAAACCATGATTAGTATTCCAGCTATGATGATAAGTAAAACATCTTGAGCCAAAGTGAAATCTGTAAGCTACCTCATGCTACTAAATTGCAAGAAAATAGTAATACCATCTTTCTATTGATTGCATACTAAAAAAAATGTACAAATCTATCAAGACAAAGCATTCAGTCACATATTGCAATCAATATGACAGTTTTTCCACAAATTTATGCTGCATCGTGCTCAGATATCTTCTATAAACATCTACATCCTTCAGTTGCCCAAACAAGCCCCCAGAAGATACTATCTGCAGACGACAACAATGATGTGCTACAGAACAATAATCCAACCTGGGCCATTACAAAGAACAATGATAGTGAAAGAAGGAGTCTGTAATGTTAAGCCACTCATCCTTGTAGCTTACCATAGATCAATAACACCTCTGTTTATATAATTAACTTCAAGTTACTTAATAACAGATTAGCAAATGAGAAAATACCCATAATATTAAACAAATTTTAATAAATCATTCAGATTGGGCAAGTTGTTACTAGTTAAATATTTAACAAGCTCTCTATTTCTACCTACAAAGGAAATGATAAAGAGTAAAAAATAAGCTATGAAGGACAGTGTGAACTCTCACCACTATAAAAGTTTATTTTTTGAGAAGTTGAGCTGTCTTAAACAAAAATACTAAAATAATAGTATCTGATAAAAAATGAGATAACGATATTTTTAAAACAGTGCAATACTCCATTTGTCAGGTCTGAAGAAACAGTCATATGTTTGTGACTCATTTCAACATTAATCTGATACAGTGCTAATTTCTGGCTAATCTTTTTAGTATAATTACTTTTTTTATAATTTGCGTATTATTTATTTAGATATAATTAATTTGATGATCCATACATCTGATTTTAATCTCAAACATTACACTTCCCTTTTACACAACTAATGCTACTTTGTTTAACCCCCCCTCGCTATGGGCTTGATCGAGTTTGTAACCCCAAAGTTATAATCAGTTTCCATACTATAAATATTAATATGTTTTTCATGAAACTTATCAAACTTTCAGTAAACTTTACACATCTTTCGTACACAAGGAATCAATTTTTCAATTAAGCATTTTTACTAAGAACTTGTTCATGAATATATGGAGTCAGAATACTGACTGCTTCAAGTGTGAAGTGATTCTCATGATTAGACTAAGAATACTTTTCTTCACCTGAATATTGTCAAATTTCATTTGCATAATCTCTAAAACCTCCTAAATAAATATAAAACTTTATATTTTATCAACCCTAACTCTATATGTGTTCAGTCAATTTGACTGATCTTGTAACCACCATAAAAAGTATGAAGTAAATCTAAATTATCCTTTTTTCTTTCTAGAATGACTGTACATTGTAACATGAAACTATGATTGTCGATCTTAACTGGCTTAAAGATTATAATAGTATACATCTGTTTATATTTAAATTTTATTGCCCTTTGACGTATGTCTAACTAAATAATCCCACCACACAAGTTGTAAATCACTCGATAAATGTGTAGTTCAAGTTAACATATTTAAATTATGTAAAGCATGAGCTATTTGTGAACATACCTCATGAAGAATTACTATTTTTCATTATCTTACCTAATCTAATAAGTTTCTAATTTGTACATGTTAGTTACTTTTCTAATAAAATAAAGAATATACATGAAAAACAAGAATAGTACTTGCTTGTGTCTTCATTTTTTTGCTGTCAAGTGGTGATGAAAATTAGGTATATATATATATATATATATATATATATTTAACTTTTTTTTCACTATTGGTACTAGTAAACTAAGTAATTTTAATTAAATAATGCACCCAAGAACAGAAAATAATAACATTAATAAAGCAAACAATGCCACGTAGCTATTGTACTTTATCTAGCTCTCTATCTATGCAAAAAGAGCCTTTAAACATTTAACTAAGTTTGTTGATGTGGATATTGCGAGAAAAATTTCCAAACTGGAGGTGAAATAGACAATACTCTGTACTAAAACAATGTAATATAATACATCATTTGATATATTAAAACTTTGGTTTTCTATTGGTTGTAAATAATATGGTACACAACATGAGAGAGAACTATTGGCAATTTGTGAAAACGAGAATGTAACAGGTGGACATGGCAAGTGGGTCTGATTTTCTAGTTTGTGACTTTGTAAACAAATAAGAATGAAGGCTATAAAAATTATGCTTTGCTTTAATAATATTTATATTATAATGAGTAAATTATGTTAAATTCTGTACTTCTCAGAGGAGTGGTAAATAAATTATAGAAGAGGGAAGACCTAGAAAACAAACGTTACAATTCTCATACTAGGGGAGACCGAGGATCTTTTAAAAATATTTTCTTATACAATTAATAACTTAAAATATATCATATTAAAATTTGATTAATTGACTAAATTTTGATGCCAAGTTTGTTCATATACAATGATAATAAAGTAGTTTATATTAAATTTTGAATTTAACTCCCTAAAAAGTTGTGACATGTGCATTTTGACCCACCTGTAGCGAGGGGTTTAATAGCTCTGATAGACATTCTTTCATAGACTACAAAGTTTACTTACTTATGCTATTTTTTTTCTCTACATAATCTAAAGAAAACTTATTTCTAATTTTTCAAACATGGGTTGACATAAAAAATGTGCTTAAACCTAAAAATTAAGCCTCACGCAGAACACAAGTTATAAGTGTATGTTTTAATTTAATATCCAACTTCTAATATCCTCCATCTTCCTTTTCTTTATAACCTAGTTAGTATGTTTTTTGTAAATCATAACAATTAACTTTTATTTTTGCCTGTTTCAGAAAATACTATTACTCATTTAGTCAATTTTTAAAAATATCCTTTTGTTAAGAGATACACAAAAACTTTTTTTTTTTACCTTTTCCAATAAGCTTTCCTCTCCTCTTGAAAAGTTCATCAATTCTTCAGCAGTGTTAATTAAAACTGTGCCCTGAGAGTTAATTCATATTTTACAGTTAATACACAGGGTATTGTATTACTTACAAAAATATCCATATACAGGTTCAAACATTTACTTTTATTAAATTATTAATAAATTATCTTTCACCGATGTGTTAAAACAGTCTTAGATCACTACCATCATCTAATAAGCATGATAATGGATGATACTGTTGAGAACTTTTAAAACATCTCTTTCCTTTGAGAATAAGTAAACAGTGTACGTGATGCTTTAAGTAAACTTAAAATAAATGACGTTACATTGTGAATGATATGTTATTAAACACAACTGAAGCACAAGTTTCACTATAGAGTACTAAAAGAACACAATATTGCATGCAGAAGTTAGCGAAAACCACAGTAAACTGAAACTGTCAGAAGTCTTGACAGTCTTTTGAGACAACATGAAACTTAAGACAAACATGTTGAAACTAGTCTCTCTAATATCAAGACAGTTTATTCTATTTATTGTGTTTTTTCACTAATTGTATGATACATGTCTAAGTCCTAACTGAAATATGTACAGTACAGTTAGCCTTTAGTGGTATACTTTACATTATTCAGTAACAAATATATTCTCATCAAAAAGAAGCACACCTCTTCTCCGAGTGTTGACATTTAATATTTTATTCTTTAAATTCTAGCTGCAAGTATCAGGAAAACAAAGCTATTTACTTTTTTTGTTATGCAAAACTAATACTTTAATCATCAATTTGTTCATTTTATAAATTATTTTTGCAAATTTCTAATCATTGTGTTTACATATTATTCAAAATCCATCATTATTAAATTTATAGTTAATAAAACAAGTTACAAAAACTAAAAACTAGCACTACTTCTCTCCTTACTTTGGTCTCTGTCTGCACAGAATCTATCGGGCAGGTATATACAGCCACTTTAGCACTGGTAGCCTTGGTAATGTTACTTTCTATTTGTCGTTTAAATACCATGCCTTGCACAACTTCAGACTTGTAAACTCCTGCTCCCTGTGACAAAAAATCAAGTATATTGAACTGAGAACTGCTTATGACTACTGCAATTAACTATAAATATCGAACAAAAAGTTAGTGAATATATTTTTTCTGTCAAAATTTTCAACTCTTGAAAAAATTACGTAATTCACAATTACGTTAGACTTAAAAGTTGATTAAAGGATTAGAAAACTAATTTGAGAACTGTTAAACTTGAACAGAAGCTTAGATAAAAAAATTATAAAAGCATTAAAACATTTTTTCTCACTAAACTATATTTGATGTCAGACTGTTTTACTGTTTATGATTTTTTTTATGCCTTCACAAAAGTGGAAAACTATGTAAATCTAAGCTATGGCTTCTACTTAGAATCTATTTAGAATAAGTAAACAATGTATGTGATGCTTTAAGTAAACCTAAAATAAGTGACGTTACATTGTGAATGATATGTTATTAAACACAACTGAAGCATGATAGATTACTAAAAGAATGCAATATCGCATGCAAAAGAAAGAACAAAGACAAGATAAGCAACTTTAGTGCAATGGGAATTGAATCAGAGATCCTCAACTCACGAGGCACTCCAATCATGAAACTTTGTGCTTAACAAACAAAACGGGAATATATTGATTAACTGGATGGTTCAATAATCAAAAACATTAAATAATCAGAAACCCTAACTTTGATTAGTGGATTACATTTGTAACAGTTGATTTAATCACTGCTCATAAAAAATTGATTATATCAATCCATTTGCCCAGCTCTAATTCTGTAGATGAGGAACCTCAAACAGCCAGAAAGTTATAAGCTCCATCATTATTTTTACAATTACTTTTCTGAACATATAAACTAAAATAGCAATTTAAAATACAAAAATCAAGATTCCACATTAATTTTAAACCTGCTACTTTGAGTATATAACACTAAAATAATTCTAAATGCTCCCCAGTAATTTTCATATTACTCATCGTTTATGAACTCACTCAAAAAGTGTAACAAGCCTTCATTAGTTGCAAGTTCACTTGAGTTTTAACTTTGATCGTTATTTACTTTTTTTTTATGTCGAATGCTGGATTTTTCAAATAATACTTAATCTGTGTTAATGAAGAAAATTTGAAATGAAAATTGAAAATTAATTTACTTTGTATTTACTATACATAATCAGTGACAGTGAGAATATGAAAATTGGTATTAATGGATGAGGGAAAAATTGTTTTTGTGTACAATCAAATGGGGAAAAAAAAAATTTTATATGCTGTCTGGAAATTAAAAAAAAATTAACAATAAATCATTAAGAATTTAAAGTGATAATTGTGATCACACAAAGTGTAAATTGTAAAATACTGAAAATAAAATTAAAGAAATAGAAAACACTGTAGGTATTTAGTTACCTAAGAAAGAACCTTTGTTACCTACAAAATAAAGATTATAGGAATTAAAATTTTTCATTACACTGAAGCTAAAAAACTTGTCTTTGTTACAGTCTCAATTCTTCCAGAAAAATCATCTTTTAACGTGGACAACGTAAGAGTATGCAAGATCTTGGTAAGAAGTAATTGTTATTGACTTTGCATTTTACCAATTCATGATAAAAGTGTACATAGACTAACTTTGAAAGGGTAGGCATCAATTTGATAGGTAGGTGTAATGGACAAAACTGACAGGTTTAAGGTATTTTATCCCTACTACTCAAGTTACTCATAATGCAACATTCAGGATCACAGGTTTGACTTGTAATAAAGAACTCCTTAATTGGGCCTATAACCAACAGTTTTTAGTATAGCTAGTGTAAAACCTCACAAATTGATAGAATATGCTCTACATACAAGAGATTAAAAAAACATTTTAAACAATACAATTTGAATTTTTTACAGTTAGTGTTATTGGGAGACTTGCATCTTTGCAATGTTGACTGGGAATGTATGTGTTTGTAAGGCATGTTACAGTGCAATGTCCCATCAACTCAACATTAATGTGCACACTATCTAAACTTCACTTTTATCAATATTCGAGTAGATGAATTTTCCAATAGCCAATATTATCAACATGGTAAAATATCAGCCAAATATAGATGTATAATATCAGTACTGGTAAATTGTAATCTTTAGCTATAAACATTTCAAAGAAAAGAAAATGTCTTGAGATACTTTACAAAAAATAGGAAGAAGGTGAACTTTAACTTAGAGTTTTATGGTTACATGATGACGTTTGGCAAGACAAGTATTCTTACTTTGGCCTTATTATACTCTCTATCTTTTCAATTTTATACTTACATCTTTCAGTGGTATAGAACAAATATGATCACTTAAAACCTATGATGTAAGAAAGATATAAGAAAATTTTTTTTAATGACTATTCCAAAACATAAGCATGGGAAGTCATTTTTCAAAGCACTGTGTATATGAACCCTGTAACAAAACTCAACCTATTAAACAATGTTGTTAATATGATTACTCTACTTTCCTCTGCTTTAACACAGCTTGCCATCAGCAAATGGTCAAGATATTTGTATAGAGGAATAAGGTTAACAGATAGGGGATTCCCAAAAGCATACCACATTACCCATCTGTTAAATTCCACATTAAATTCCTAGAGAAGCAGCTATTTAATAATTATAAATGTTAATATTTTAATTTTAAATTCACCATACATTTAAATAAAGTATTCTGTACACATTGACTTACTGCAAGCTTTGGCAATTAGCTGTGCTAAGAAATCCTCATTTCCATATTGTTTGCTCATCACTGCAGCCCTGATTCCACGAGTCACTTCGTCCACATTTTTATAATCCTTAATCTCCCCACATGTCAGAGCTAATATAGAAATAACACAGTACCTTAACAAATTCATCACAGAAATTGGTCTTTACAAAACAGATATTTTTATTCATGATTTAAACCAGGTGTAAAGCTTCATTAGAAGTATAACTAAAATCAAAACCTGACAATCTCTCATATGTGAATTACTACAGATTAAAAGAATATCTTATTGAACACACTAAGTAACAAACTTGTAAAACAATTTAATACAATATATATATATATGGCCTATTAACCTGATGCAAATTTTGTAGTTTAATACATTGGTGTCAGAAGACTTGTAGTGATATTCATATGGAAACATTGTAATAGCTGTGGAAGAGATGTGTATTCAGAGAAAACTTGCCACATTTTAAGAAGATAATTTTGATTTGCTTTGTTTAAGGGGCATTGGCTGGTGATTTAAAGACTCAGTCTCTTAGAATTATTTCTTTGATGCTTACTGTTAAAGTGCAACTTCTGAATGCTTTTGTAGTTTAGTTTTGTACTTTTGTTATATTATTTCTCAGTTTTTATCTCACTTAGGCTTTCTTTTTATTACTGCGATTAAGTCCCACTTGAAAGTCTTGCTAAGGGCTCCACTAAGCCTGCCCTATTATAATACATCATTTCATGTCACATGTCTGGAAAACAAACATAGGATTTAGGCTGGGAATTGAGGACATAATGAAATCACCAAGAATGAAGTAAGAAATCAAAAATGAAGCAGACGTGTTGATATCATGACTGGGAGTGAGCATGGATGTCATGACATCAACATAGACAGTAATCTTACTCTGAGAAAAGAAGAAGAGAGAAAGAAACAGATGGCATGGAAACCCAAAAGTGATACAAAAAGTTATTTTTTTAGACAAGAAAAAGGACTCTGCAGCTAATTAATGATCCCGCAACTTAGGAACAACTAACAAGTGCAGGTCATGACTTCACTGTAGTAGCTGGTCTGTCTACCAAAGCAAATTCTATTTCAGTAAGTTCATTTAATTGTGCATTTCCATCGAGCATATCTCTTATTTTTTGTTCAAAGATAAGAGAGTAAAAAGACTGGCTTGTGTGGAATGAATTCTGCCAAAGGACTATTTTGTTTTTCATGTTGTCTTTTTTACTGAATGTAATGAACAAGAAAAAACATCTCAAATCTTAGCAAACATAATGCTGGAATAAACAATAACTGGAAAGAACTATTTGAATGTGTGAGTAACAATTAAAAAAATCCTATCCACTTATCACACTGTTTCAAATGGAAAAGTTTGGAGAAAAATTGTAAAAACATATTGGTGTATTGACACCTCTTTTTCAAAAATAAATAGATGAAAAAAAAAACCCCACTAAATTGTAAAAAAAAATTCTGCTTTGCATTTTACATGTCACATTGTTGTTAGCTGAATAGAATCTTCCATTTAATGGACCAAGAAACAGAATAGGAGATCATGATAATGGTCCCTTTCTTGTTTGTTTGTTTTGAATTTCCCGCAAAGCTACACGAGGGCTATCTGCGCTAGCCGTCCCTAATCTAGCAGTATAAGACTAGAGGGAAGGCAGCTAGTCATCACCACCCACTGCCAACTCTTGGGCTACTCTTTTACCAACGAATAGTGGGATTGACCGTCACATTATAACGCACCCACGGCTGAAAGGGCGAGCATGTTTGGTGGGACGGGGATGCAAACCCACGACCCGCAGATTGCGAGTCGAGCGTCCTAACCACGCCAGGCCAGGGTCTCTTTCTTAGTACTTTAGAACTGCTTAGCCAACATGACACTGTTTTAGAATGACATCTGCTGGAAGTAAAAAAGACTATAGGATGCAAGCATATGATCTCCAAATGAGTTCATTGACAAGTGCTGTAATTCAGGAAGTAAAAAAGGCATTCTATTACAGCCTGATATCACTAAAACAGAACAAATTAACTTTATTTTGTGATACACCCTTCAGAATCAAGGTGATGCATGAGAATGCTAAGAACATTTTTTAAAAAGTTCCTATTTTTCAGAACAAAACATTGCAAATTTTATATGCAACATGTTAAAAGAGAATGAAATGTACTCAATCTTTGAACCTTTAATTTTTTCGGTAAAATCTGGTGCCTGTGTGGTAGGTCAATCTTTGTATTCCCACACTGCTAACGAGAAATATATAGGTCACTATTTTTTCATTGCCACTTATTAATGATAGTTAAAATACAACAGAAAAAAATTCAGTATACACAATATTACACAATTTTAGAACAGTTACAAACTAATATTAATAATTATACAACTTGATTTTTAAATATACTCAAATCTGTAAATTACATCACTGAGCAATTTGCCAAAGATATAAATCATGTTTCTAAAGTGTCTTTAGCTTGGATAAAAACTGACTGGGATTATCTCATGCAAGACTCCCTAACAACTGCTAACTTTCCAGAATGATCACAATATTATATGGAGTTGTTGTAAACCGTATTAGTCAACATCAATAGGGAGGAAAAGTGACCAGTAAGCAGAATAAGATCTTGAAAGTGAATCAGTTTGAACATAGTGACTGAGTGTGGTTCTGGTGTACTTCAAATCTGGCTGGAACCTATTTTGTTCTACAACAATTAATCTGTCAATCTATGAAATTCAGTATTTATTTGGCACGAGAAGGCAGGCAGAACACGTAAATAAGCTGAAGACCTGAAAGATGATTTCCTTTGTTTCTGTGAACTTCATGTCCATGCATTCTCAGTATTTAGGAATTATGGTAAAGGTTTCAAGTTAACCTTTACCATAATTTCATTTAAAGGCTTTAAGCAAATGTTAGGTACAACTACACTGTTATGTGAATTATATTTTTATTCTAAAAATTTCATTTTTAAATCTCTTATTGTAGCTAGTTCAGTCAAATAATTAGTAGTTCTTTTCAATAAGACTAAAACAGGTATACTATTTCCTATCTAAAAGGTGGGAATGGTTAATCAAGAAACTAAAAAATTAGGCTTCCTTAGCCATTTAATTAATTATTATTACATTTCACACATTAAAAGTAAAGGTCAGTAAAATGCATAAAAAATGAATTAATCCTAAAATAATGAATAAAAACAAGCTAACTATTTCAAACAATTGCAAATGAAAACACTCAAGTAAAAATAATTTAGTTTATTAAAATTCTTACTTGGTAATAAATCCAAGATTTTTTTGCCTGCCATTTCATATCCTTCAGCCACTTCTACAGGAGTTAGACCCTGAAAAAAATAACATTAACAAACCTAAAATGATAATGTATGAAGAAAAAGTTTTAAAGATAAAAAATGACGTACAGTTATCCTACAAAAATAGACAAAAAAGGTTATTTAACAAGTAAATTTTTCAAACTATGGTGACTTGTTATGTAGAAATAAATTTAGAAGTTTGGAAAAGCAACTGACAAGATTTTCTTAATTTACTAAAAACTTAAAATACCTTCAAGCTTATATCAACAATTCTACAGTAAGTGAGGTTAAGGTTTCACTTTGAATTAGCCAATTTTTGGACTAATATTTTTAAGTAAAAGTAGAAAACATTAGAAATGTAATTTAAACAGCTGTTTTCTTTCCCGAAATAAAGTTCACACTGAATATGCAAATAATATTTTACTCATTATGCAGTATCAATGTAATACATAGTTTCTTGTGAATCGTGAGACCATCTTTCATCATTATAAAGAAATTTAAAGTTGAATTTTATTTGTCTTCAACTCTCCAAATTAATATGTGGAGTGAAACTTGATTTTGGAAATATACGTTTAATAGAAAATACATCAAAAATACTTGCTGACTTACGGATAAAAAAGCAGTTAAAATATCAAATAGTTCAAATTCTTAAATAAATATAATTGCAACACCCTTCTTGCTCTAGAGAAGTAACTATGGGGTTGTTAAGACTCAAGAAGTGCCACTGGGTGGTCATCATAAATGATAGGAAGGTTGTTATATAACTGTATTTGGTGCATTTGTTACTACTGGAATGATCTTCAGAGTCACTTCGAAATAACCATTGTTATCTGATGGCTAGACTGTGCTGTTGAGATTCTGATCTTAGAACTTAATTGTTTGTCTCTGCCAGATGGTGGATTATTTTCATTATGATGCTATTTTATAAAATCAATGTTGAACGAAGGCTAATTTATTTTTAAAGGACATAAACTAACAAAGTTAATGTGAAGTATAAAGTCCATCTAAAATGTTTTTCCACAAAACAGAACAAACTGTTATATGTATGTAGCTTACACAACACAAAGTAGGAGGAGATGACAAATAATTAAATCTTAAAACAACTAGAAGACCAATCCTTAACAGATAGTAGATGACTTTCAAGAGCATCTTAAAATCCAAAGTGTTAGCTTGAAAAGGGTATCCTTCAGAAAATGTCGAATGAGACAAATATTCAGCAAACAAAGTGTTAAATTCAGGTGTCACCAAGTTTGATAATGCCATCCATCAATTTTTCTTTCAAAAAACCACTTCTAATCCCATCAGTCAAACAATGAAATGAAAATATTCTAACCTTACAAGGACCTTTTATAATAAAAACATGTATACTATTATAGAGTAAATTTTTAAAGTTGGTATAAAAATATCCATTAAAGTTTAAGACTGAAAAACCATATATGTTAGAGATAGCATTGTTAAAAAAATAAATGATACGTCTTATGAAGAATGGAAGACAGAAGAAAAAAAAGACACTAATTTGTTAAAGAAGGTTGTTACTGTAGCTACAGAAAAGTCATACAGGGATACATTTATGCTGATGAATTTGGCCAATAAACAAAAATTCTCTCAAAAACAATGTATTTAAAAAATATATAAAAAAGTGAAAGCTTTTGCCAAATAATGTTACTTCATAGACTTTGAGGTGATCATCTTTAAATTTACACATATGACCATTGTTAACACACCATTGTTCCTTGGACAGAACTTTAAAGATTTATCTTAATATATTCGTCCATTGGTTTTTGTATGGAAGTGAGATAATGTAAGACCAATAGAAAATTTTATGTTAATTTAGTATAATTAGAAAAAATTTAAATAAGTAAAATAAATACAACAATACATCAATTACATTGACTGCGCCACTGATTTCTTTACTTCCAAATAAAACATTTTCCTTTGTATAAAATTTACAACCAACAACAGCATGGTTTCAATATAATGTACATTTCAATTAATATGCACAGTTCCAGACAGGTTCAACAATTTTGATACATAAAGCAGAAGTGTGTCCATCCATGTACTCGCTTTCATTTCTACAAGTTTTGACTAAATTTGGCACGCACCCTTAGGGCTTCCGTGGGGAGTAACAGAGAGGGTCAGCATTCACAGTTGACTCCACCTATGTCACTCCCTGGGGCACCTATGTGTTCCCCACGCTGTTCTATTACAACTAGTTAAGTGTTCCCCACTTGTTGAATGGGTACTTCAGCTAGTCAAAATAAGATTCTAGTATATCAGTCAGTAAACCCACATAGGGTTAAGCTATATATTTTTCCATCCCCGCACATTAATAAAATTTCCATAAAAGAGCAAGAATTATGTACTCAAGGACAAATATAAAACAAATTTATTGTGGAATGTTTTACCAACCAACCTCTAACAAACACAATACTTGTGATAGTATTATGCCACCTGTTAAAAGGTATTTAGAGTGATATGGTAGGCCCCTTATATGATGGTGGTAGGATATGAGTAGCATATAAGTAGACATAAGCTATAAAATATTCATATACCTTGCCATTGGTTAGAAACTTGAAGCTATTAACACAATGACATGCTATATACTTGGACACCAAACAGTTTATTAAGGTTTCTGAAATTTCTCATTTTGTATGACATATAATATCTCATTGTAGCATACAATTATTGTTAACAAGACTGAGAATCTTACCATTCTGATCAACTCCTCTGCACATTCTAACAGAGCCCCAGCAAGGATGATAACAAAATTAGTCCCATCACCAACTTCTTGTTCTTGCATCTGGGAAGCTAAAACCATCATCTTAGCTGCTGGATGTTGTACCTATAAAAAAGATGCAAAAACAAGGTATTTAATCTAGTGAAGTTATATTTAAATATAAAACCCATAAATTACCTTTTCTTTCAGGACCACATTTGAAAAGACAAAATGTTATAACTGCTTATAGCACAAAAAGTCTGAAATTTGTGTGAGGATATATGATGTAAAATACAAATAATACCTATTATCATCTAAAATATTACACAATACTATGATGATTGGAAAAAAAGTTTTGATTCAACACAAACTTCTGGTTCCATGATACCTTCCTTCACTACCAAAAGAATGCATTCCTATTATATAAAAAGGTAGTACTCATTCCTCATTAAATAATCCTCTCTCTTCACCACAAAGCAACAATTTTTTACCACTCCTGACTAATACTACTGTGAATAAATGTCACTCTGAATTAGAACCAGGTGATTAACTCCATTAATTGATATACCGCATTTTTCAGTGTATAAGACGCACTTTTTTACCCCAAAATTTGATGTCAAAATCTGCTTGTGTCCTATACACCGAAGGTATGAATAATATATATATATGTATATATAGGATATACACAAGCCATGTGTAAATATATTTAAATAGGCATGCATAGTTTAGTTCAATTGAATGTGTTACTTATAACAATAGTATATTTATAATGCTCCCTAAATAATAATAAAAAAAAAAAATTACAGTGAAAGCAATG